CACTCATCACCCGGAGCATATTATGTAGCTATTTGGTTGTATTTCCTTCCCCTTTAGACTGGACTGGGAATTTATCTCTTGTTCATTGTTGTATCACCTTAACCTAGTGTGGTGCCTGGAAGTTAGTAAGCACTCAGTAAACATTTTTTAAATGACTGAGTGAATTTCCTAGGCACACTGGTCAGAAATAGGCTATAGAGAATGGAAGAGTGGCTGTACCTGCCATTTAATATGCTCTCAATAAGATTACATTTATTGAAATAAGATTTTATTGGCGATGAAACAAAATGCTATTGGGCATACAGAAAGGCATGAGAAAACCAGGCACTAAATTTGATATTAGTCAAGCAAATGTTCATAGTTGGAGAAATGATTGAAAGTCTATCTTTTCTTTCATAGCAACAACTAGAAAGATAGAAGGAGTTTGAAGCTGTGTTATGTTTTGTTACTGAGTTACAGTCAGAAGGACTGCTGATCACACAACAAGCAATGCAACTCAAGGCAGAAGAAATTGCCAAATCCCCCAGAACAAAGCAGTGAGGAACTAGTTTGACTGTCACCCAAGACTGTCTTTAAGGCATTGTGTCATAGTTAATTGGCAAAGTTTGTTTCTTTCCTAATGATACATAAAATAATGAAGTGTCTTACAATCCACAGAGTTTTAGCTTGAATAAAATAGGGTGGATCTCTTTTCTAGATCTTAGAATGATGAAACGAATTTATAAATCTTAATTTTGTCATTTATGGTTGTTAGTTTACATCTTAGTTTCTAAGATAACAAATGTTACTCTTCCTTATTAGTTAAACCAAGAAGGGAGAGGTTTGGCCAGACACTTGTGCTATCATTTCTTGGTTTCCTTACTGAATGCCTTTCTCCAAACATTACGTACAGAACTAGCATAATGGGGACCAATTATCCAGTCGTGAGTTTTGACTTTTGGTTCTCATGATTAGTTTGAAAATAATTTTTTTCAGACAGCTGCAGGTTTTGTTTTTCATTTTTTTTTGAAATAATTATAGGTTCCTAAGAAGTTATAAAAATAGTACAGAGAGGTCTCGGGTATCCATCAGCTAGTTTCTCCCCACAGTGACATCGCCCATAACTGTAGCACAGCTGCAGTTTTAATAGATCATTTTGTTCTTTTCCCATGACCTGTTGGAGTAGGAATAGAGAAATCAGGTAATTTTGTTATGCTCCAAGCCACCTCACTTTAGGAGGGAGTGTTTCTGGTAACAGGTGGTGAGCCCAGAGGCACAGTTGCTATAGAGGGACTAATACATTGATTTTCATGACCTAGAGGAAATAATCACTCAGGTTAAAATGTCTTCAAGAGTTAGTGGCCTGAAGCTCTCCAACAGAGAAACTCCTAATTGATTTGTTTTTGCTTCAGCACAGCTTTCTTTTGAAGCAATCATTTTAGAGTGATTTCAGGTGCTCCAAAAAACCTCTTGAAATAGACCAACTTAAAGATCTAGAACCTCAGTTGGAAGGGACATGAGGTCAACCTTACCCATTGGATAGGGTCAACCTTACCCATTGGATAGGGCGATTTCCCCCTTAAAGACCCAGCCAGGTTACGGTTGCAGTTCTTCTTAAGATCCTTTTCTGCTTAAGGCCTCAGTCCAGTTTCCACATGATGGACTTTTCTTACCCACAGATCAGACAACAGACAGGTGCCTCTGTGTTTTCCTTTTCTCCTTTCAGTTAAATACATCTGCATTCTCAAATCTTGTGGTGGTTTTAGCCACCCACTCCTGACCTCCCTCCTACTTGCTGCTTCTCCACAGGCTGCAGTTTTTTGATAGCTTGGCCACATCCTAGAGAGAAGATAATGGTGGTAAATTAGGGGGTGAGCTGAGAGAGGTACATTACAGAAAAAATATGACAGAAGGTATTTGGTACAAGATTGGAAACTAAAGCTCATTATTATAATTATATTCTTCAAATAACGGTAGTGTCTTCCTTACCCTGTTTCTCTTTCCTATTTCTATTATTTGTTATCTTTCACTTGCACTTTTGGACACCCTGTACTGTCTTCTGTCCCTTGAAGCCAGACTTCTAGGGTATGGTCTGCATTGTGAGCGGCCCTGATATCCCTATTTCCTCAGTCCAAATACTCACCTTTTGTTTTCTGCTTCCGCTGACTCTTTCACTACATCACCTCAGCCAAGACCACCACCTCCACCTCCATCTCCACCTCCACCTCCACCTCCACCTCCACCTCCACCTCTCGCTCCACCATTGTCCTCCACCTCTACCTCATTTCCATCATTGTCCTTGCCCAAATGCCTGGCCTTCAAGTTGTCTTTGCTGCTGTTTTTTATTCTTTTCTCTTATCACTAGATGAGAACCACGTCATGTTAGCATAGTTAGTGACTATGCTGAGACCAAACAGCCTTAAATTCATGTATACTCAGCATCAATGATGCCTTTGAAAATTCTGATTCTCCCCAGATAAAATATCAGAATGGCAACCCCTGCCCCCTGCCCCTGACCTTCAGCCTCAAACATCTGGCATTTTGGGAGCAGATAAAACCCACACAGAGCGCCCAAGGACTCTTTTCTTCAGAGGGCTGGAACTCGGAGGATTTTCCCCTGCAATTGCTATTTGAAATATTTTTTAAAAAAAAAGAGAGAGAGAGAGAATGAGAACTAAAATATGAACTGGAAATTTCTACAAGCTGCCGGCCCCTTGCAATAGATGTAGGTCAGGATGTGACAAAATTGGGTTTGGGAGTATTATTTCTACTACATAAGAAGTTAGTTGAGAGAGCGCTGACTTGAAAGGTAGAAGGTCAAATACTGCAATACAATTAACTTGGCTTAAGTGGGGTGGTAGAGAACCTGAGGGTTGGGGGTAGAGGTAGCCAAGTCACCTGTTCTGGAAACAGATTTGGCCCATTTTATATGAACCCAATATTGATATATCTTTGTAGATTATGTAAATATGTTTTGACTGAGGTCTCCAAAATTGTTAATGTTCTATAGGCAGACTTAGGGATATGCAAACTTGGGCATACAAATTATCATCCCTAAAGAGCTTACCATTACAGATTAAAATTTCCAAATTGAGGAACCCATAGAAATAGAGAAGTAAAAGCATTGGCTTATTCAGAGTGGTCTTGAATTTATTTGGAGACCCCAGTAAAGATACTAGCACAAAAAACAGTGTTATACAAATAGAAATGAACTTTGGAAAATCTGACAATGTGATAAAGACTGTATTCTCTGAGCTCCTGGGTGTAGAACATTCTGTAAGGGTACTAATTCATAGAGAACATTTGCTTATCCAAAGAATATCCATACTTATGTTTAATAAAGGAAAAAATCACGGGTGGGTAACTAAGCAGACAATGTATTTTAGCTCATTTGTGTAGTAAAACATGTAACAGAATCTCAGTAGGGTTCAAATATGCCCTCTTGACTTCCAAATGCATAGACTCCTTTAAAATAGTATTTTAGTTGTTCAAGCCTTCCCCCTTAGCCATTTTACACCTGGTAATAACTATGTAAATTCAGAAAACAGATTTTATATGTTTTGATCCATCTTTTTCTTCATATTCCTCTTAGCAAATTCTTACATTGATGAAGATCTGCTTATTTCACCCTAAGGCAATTCAAAAGTTCTGTATGACAACTTTATTCTCACTGCCAACTATTAGGAAAGGAATGCCCACTTTTCCCTGAGGGCGTGTTGTTGCATGAGAGGTTGAACTCATTTTCTGAGCAATTGTTTTTATAAATTCAGTATTTTGCTTCCAGTGTTCATGGCCAGATAGTGTATAACCTGGTCTCTACCCAGTATTATCCATGCTGTTTTCACACTTACCCCCAAGGGCCAAAGATTATCTCACAGAAGCTCCGAAAGAATTCCTGTTTCTGAAATTCATGTGTAAAAGGAAATTTTTAAAGGGAAGAGGGTGATAATTGAGTTCAAAGTCTGAAGAATTTTTGTGAAGGATTATATTGATTAGTAACAAAAGCTCTCTGGCATTTTCAGGCAGACATGTGAAAAAAGTAGTGATTGTAATTAATTTTTAGTGAGTGCCGCATATTTGATAATTGCTCTGATTCACGCTATTATATTCCTCTTCCTTCACCCACAGCAAAATAAGCCTAATTTGATTCATACCCTTAGGAAGAAGAAAAAAAAAAAAGCCTAAGATTACTCACATGGCTGTGATTCAGCTCTTGGCTCCCACCACCTCCTCCTCCTCCTCATCCTCCCTTTCTCCCACCCTGCCCACTCCCATATTCACTCCCACCCAGTGGTGTTGCCATCAAAAAACTGAGTCAGTTTGTTCTTTAAAATGGGTGGGGAAAGAAGAAACTAATAAAAACTTTTCTGAGCGAAGTATACTGCTTAGATCTGAAATCATTGCAGGAAGACAGGCAAAGCGGCTACTTACATAACATGAGAAGCTTGAAAGAGAGGCCAGCCCTCATAAAGAAATGTTCCGATTGTCTTATATAAGACTAGTGTAGCTTGTGTGCATGTCTGTAGAGGCATACACATAGCCATGGAGGCAGATTTCTATGAAAAACCTCTGATATTGTGAATCTTACATATAATGTATACAGAAAGAACCTTGTTTTCAAAGTAGGATACTTTGCTATAATCAAAAAGTGAATATAGAAGCAATCCAAAGATTTCTGATCATTGCAAAACATAGGTGATAAAGACATTTTGTATGCCTTCAAATGAACGTGTGACTTGGCAGCTTGAGGTGTTTTTGTTGTTTGTTTGTTTTTCTTTTTCTTTTTTGACAGTGTCTTGTTCTGTTGCCCAGGCTGGAGTGCAGTGGCACAGACCACGGCTCACTGCAACTTTGAACTCCTGGGCCCAGGTGATCTTCCCATCTCAGCTTCCCAAGTAACTGAGACTACAGGCGCACAGCACTGTGCCTGGCTAATTTATTATTATTATTTTTTGTAGAGATGAGGTCTCACTATGTTGCCCAGACTGTTCTCAAACTCCTGGGCTTAAGCGATCCTCTCACCTTGGCTTCCCGAAGTGTTGGGATTATAGGCGTGAGCCACTGCACTCGGCCACAAGATTGTTTTTTGTTTCTTTCCTGAGGAACTGTAAGATTAGTACTGAAGGTGACAGCTCACCCTTAGGGAGCTGATGGTGGTAGCAAACATTATTGAGGCAGCAGTCTCTGTTCCTTGCTTGTATTTTTTTGCTTATTCCCATTCTTCAGATGAAGTAAAAGCCGTAGAGAAATGAAGGGACTCTTGTAAGTCCCCACAGGTAATAACCTCAGAGACAGTGTTAGAACCCAAGCTGTTTGTCTTTACCCTGACTTGTAACTTTGGTTTTTTGGGAGCCTGACACAGTTGGATCATTTGGTATTTTAGAACTTACCCAAGACAGGAGTGGCGGTGGACAGGAAGCTCCATGCTGGAGCTCCAAACCAGCCTTGAACTGAACTGTTGAATCAGGTCTGTGTGCATCTTCAAACCAGGCTGTGACATGGAGGGGAACAGAATGGAGCCTTCCCTCATCACTCATTTGTAATCCCAACCACCCTCTCTTCATTTTGCTGGCTTTTCCCCCATTATGTTACCATCTGTCTCCAAAACATTGCCTGGGTAAAGACAAGCTGGAGCAGTTGCTCGCCCTCAAACAAAACACAGAACTACTTCTCCTCACTCCCATTCCCCCCCACCCCCACCCCCGACTAGTGCCAAGCACCATATTTGAGGAATTCCATATTTATAAAGCTTGCTTGCACCTCAATGATGCCTGCTTGCTGTCCTTTTTATTATTCTTCAAATATGTTATGTGCTGACTGGAAACGATTAGCTTTTGTTACTGAGGGGTTTGTGGGATGCTTGAAACAGCTTCATATAGTTCTCAGATGGAAATGCGTGCTGTTTGCTCCTTTAAGAAATGAAATTTCTTAATGAAAGACAGCATAGAGGAGAATGCATACTGAGGTTCCCCATCCAACTCTCTGGGTTTCTCTTAGGGTAATTGTGGTAGGGTTTTATGTCATGGCCCTGTGGAGCGAATAAACAGTGGATCTTGGGTACTTTTTTCTGAGTCTGTACCCATCTCTTCATGCCTCTGACTAGGGGCCCTTGTTAATGTTAAGGGCAGTACTCTGTCCCCAACAGAGCTGTAGTGTTGCCCCCAGTCTCTGACCCACTCACCTTCTTTCCTGGCTGATGACACTTCCAGTGTCCTGACACATCTGGGCAGACTGGAATTGGAGTTCTTAAATGCCCTCTCTGACTGGCCCCAGCTTGATTCTGCACTGGCCTTAGGAGACTCCACAAAGTTTGGAGAGGAAAGACCCAAACAGGTCTCAGATGTAAAACTGGATGAGTATTTCAACTGCTGAAACTTTAGGAGGAAAATATGGATTGGCTATGTGTTTGCCAACATGAGTAAAGTAGTTACTAGTGATTCTTTTTTAAAAAAGTTATGGAATCATATTTTTCTCATTCAGAAGTGTTACTTAGGGAATGACTGAGATGTGTATGACTCCAGAGTTCTCTGTCAGACACTGTTCTCAGCCCTTAACGTAGAGTCATTTTATAATCCAGGTGCCACAGCTAGGAATAGCAGAACCAGAAGTCAAGCCCCAGCAAGTCTGACTCTGGAAGCTAGACTCTTCAAAGATGTCATAGGCCCTTTTAGATGCCAGAGTTTTAGGTGTTCCATTTTATTCACATTCTATTTTCATAACCTGTGTTTATTTCCATTGAAAGCCGTATAATTATAGACTTTATGTTCTGTATCTTAGCAAGGTAACTGTCTTTAAGCCAATAAAACTTAATACGTTACTGTTGAAGTATGAATAAGTTTTAATAACCGAGAAATACACACACATACTTAGAATTCAAAAGTATAATTGGGAAGTGCACTCGAAATAGTTTCACGTGATTTTAATTTCTGAAAATCAATTCTGTATGTAAATTGAATGTAGTGTTTATTCCAGTAAAACCCTGCCGGAAGTCTTTTTTATAAAGTGAATAATCAACTCCTGAATTAACTGTTACACATGGTTTCCGTGTGTATACCTTTTCTGTGCTCTCATCTACCAATCTGAAAATTAGATATCTGAACATTTTTCTGTGTTTCAAATGTTGGATGTATTTCCTGTATCATAATAAAACTAGTTATCCATCAAGGCGTAATCAACAGTAAATGCCAAGCCTTAGAGCAGTTGCTGACTTTGCTCAGGGTTAAAGGAAGTATGCTGAAAAGAGATAACTGTAGTTCAGTTGCTCAGTCCAAGCCTTCCAGATTTTCATGTGGGGAATTGCACTTCTTATTACTGTATTCTTCCTGTCTACGTAATACCTGGGAACAATTTACTCCACGTAATGCCACTCCCATCTTGGTAGTAAAGTTTTTACTGAAGAGGAAGACTTTTAGGGCATGTCAGTATATTTAATTGGAATTTTCACTGGTGACTTTCAAGTTTTGATTTCGCAGCTTTTAGGCAGGTCAAGACTAAAGGACTCTACAGATTTTTTGGTAATGTGATTGTATGACGTGTGTGCCGTGTGTGAGTAGCTCAGCTTAGAGTGTGAATTGCAGTCAATGCAAAAGTGAAAGCTGCAACATGGCTCTCATGCTCCCAACCACTTCCTGAAGAACCCCGCCACGCGGGCCCCAGACTTAGAGACTTGAATCCTCAGGATGGAAAGAGTCCAAGTCCCTCATGGTAAAGACCTCAAGTAAACCTAAACGTAGAAAACCTGTTTGCTACTCTAGTGTGAATTCAAACGTTTGGTTGCCTCCATTGTAAAAATTTCAGGGCACAATTCTGAAATTTAAAATATTAGGGAATAGAGCCAGAGCGTTGCCATACCTTAAAAATAATCTTTCATCTCTCCTGTTTACATGATTCAACCCTTGAAACCAGTTGGAATGTGCGTCCTGATCTCTAAATGTACAAGTTATTTAAAAAAAAAAAAATGTGAGCTTGTCAGCTTAGCTACAGCCACCAGTCTAATAAAACTGAGTCACATCCAAATGGGCTGCACTTAAACTACCCTCCTATTCTAGGGAAAACGTGGCTGGGGGAGGCAGTCTGAGTCATCACCTGGTTTGTTTGACATACGCTTCCTTCCATAAATTGGGAATGGCGAGCGGCACAGTGTTCTGGGCTTGCCTGGGAGAAGGAGCTGTTGCAGCTTTGCATGATCAAAATAGGGCCTTTAGGTTTGAAGGATGAGGCCGAGCCCATATTTTGACTCCAGATGTCGGGGGAGGGGAGAAGAAGTCGACAGATCCAAACAAGGAATATTTGTAAGTACCATTTTTGGAGGTCGGAGAAATGGTAGGGGTGTTCACAGTTGAATTTCTTCCTAGGACATAAAAGGTGTTTAAGAGACAAATTAGGGGCATTCAAATAAAAATAAATGGGTATCTATTTCACTAAGTGGGCTCGTTTACTTAACAAGAATATTCTTGATGTGGACAGCTTAAAATGATTGAGAGAGAGATGATTTGGTAGTTACCATACAAATCTGTTCTGACAATGTTTAATTTCACTTAATTTATTTGACTATTTTAAAAGAAATGTATTTCACCTAGGAATCTTTTCATGGCTAATTTGAATCTTCTTTAGGAGTATTTTGAGGGGTTGGGAAGAGAGGCTTATGTGTCTCGCACATTTTCCTACAGTGGTTTTGCTGTAGGAAAACCATTTTAAAAAGTTTAGAATGTAAAATTGTTGCAGACTATAGAGGAAGGGGAAGCAGGAGTAGATTTATAGCTGAAGTGGGTTTGTAAACTCGGCCTCTGCTTTGGGATTATTTTTTAATATGTGCCAGACATTCTTCTGATTTTCATCCTGGCTTGGTTGTGGCTCTTTCTCTGTCTGTGTGAGGCTGGGGTGTTCCCTGTTTTAAAGCCGTAGTTGTCGCAGCCTGGGCGTTTTCTGTTTCGGCTTATGGCTTTTTTTTTCTCTTTTCCTGAATGAGTGTCCTTTGTGTAACCCCAGTAATTCAGAAATCCTGCAGTCATAGGGACTGCCCTATCATGTGACTTAGGTACTAGGTTCTGGCTGCGATTGGTCAGCAGCTAATTGGCGGGTCCCTATAAGAGGTCTTGGGTCGGGCATCCGGCCACTCTCCTGCCTGGGCTGCTGCTCAACGGGGGCTGGGGTGGGGGGCGGTGTCTGTCCAGTGATTCAGCCACATGTGATAGATGACCAAGTGACTGCTTTCTTGGGGTCCGCACACCAGTGGAAGACAGTCAAAGTGGTTGTGACAGACTTGATCAAACCCTGGGCTTCCTGAACTGGTAACTGTCACTTTAATATAGGTTACTGATTAAACTCAGAAAAATGCAGCTTAAAATCTTTGCCAGGAACTTGTGTGGACTTATTCCCTGTTCCCCCCCTACCCCCCCTTGTTATGATTTGTTTTGTCACAGGAATGAAATGCAGATAACTCTTTAGAAAACTTTTGTAGGAAAAGCGCCTCGTGTGATCTGGAACAAAGACGTTTTATAATCAGATTTATCAAGCTGTGAAGAGGGAGTTTTAGTGAACGGAAGCAGCAGCATATTCTGTCACCAGGAAATACTCCTTTATCCAGAATTGGTAAGTGAAAAGTGGCATTGCTCCCTAATAGATATCATATGTGTGTGTGGGAATTGAAAAATTGTTCACAGACCCCTAACAACTGTGTTGAACAGAGAACACATAAACAGTGAGGAGTTCTAAAAAAGGGCAGCACAAGAATACCGCCTAAAGACTGAGAAGAAGCCAGGTAATTAACAAAAATGAGCTGAGTGCTATCAGTTTAGCTAAACATATGTAATACAGCTGGATTTGGTTGTTTTATTTTTTCTTGTTAGTGGAGGGGAAACAAAATCAGAATGGGCTGTTTAGTAGAATTGCGACATTAACTTTCCATGGATGTAGATTTCCATTTAATCTGAATAGAATGTATGAAATTTGAAGGGATGCTTTCAGAATTAGCTTACTTGCCCTCCTTTCCTTTCCTCTGCATTAAGATGTCAAGTATTTAGTGAGAACCTTACAAGATGAAAGTTGTGCAAAATGAAAGTTCAAGTAGTGCATGGGAAACACCTCCTCCTGATTGGGAAGGGTAGATTACAATGGCAATAGATTTTTTTGTGTTTTTTACATTTGTGTCACTAATTTTAAGTTTGTTCTATTTGATTACATGAGTAGAGGGAAGGGTGGTTATTTCTATCTATATGGTTCGTGACATTTTGGGAGATCATGATTAGTAGTTCTTACTGGTTTGGTATGCATGTTCCTGCCTGTCTCTCTTTCCCTGAAATGTTGAATTCAGTTTTCTAATCTTGAATCTGAGCTGCCTTTATGTTTAAGGGTTCTAGAAAATGACGATAAAGCTTTGAATACCTGTGTTATATACAACAGGTTCCTGTTCATGATGTATAAGATAACACAATTTTATTTTAGGCATGAAGGTCTAATTTCTTGATTTGGCTTCTTAAGAATATACCGAAAAGGTTGAATAGAATAAGAAAAAGAATGTTAGAAAAGAATGGTGGGTGACTGCCTGATTTTACTAGTTTCTTACTGGTCAATAGAAGTAATCATGTGATGTCTACTTATAGAAGCAAATGAAAAAAATTTTTGTTCTTTAGCTGCTAACAATTATATTAAGGTGATTTTGGCGATCTTCATTTATTAATTTGAATATATAATTATAACTGTTATTAACAGAATAAGTTTTGGGTAACATAGGAAATAATAATTATTTCTCTCTTTTTAAGCCAAATTGGAAGTTGAGTCTACTTTTGGTTTCTATTCTGTTACTTTCAAAATCTTAAAATCCTTAACTCAAAAGGGAAAATGTATAATAAAACAGGATAGCAGTGCTGAAATTTCTCTCTCTTAGCAGTGGAGTGGGATGAGGGTGGGGGAGGGAAATGAATCTAGTGAGATATATTAATTGTGTTTTCCTCCTCTTGTATACTTGGATAATTTTTGAGATCACTTTTCTCAGACTAGCAGCTCTCAAGACTTTTGCATAAGTATTTATTCTTAAAGAAATAGACAAGATAAGCACAGCTCTTAAGGGCAGGTCCTCCAATAAGTCAGGAAATTGGTGATCCAAACTTGTGAATATGACAAGTCAATTTGACTTCATTAAGGTGTGGCATTAGTTTTCTTGAAGTACACCAATTTATAGGTTTTTAGAGTCTTGAAGACAGAAAAATGGCAACAAAGCATTAAGGTACTTACAGGTAATTTATATTCAACTGCTAGCTTATGTTTTCAACTCTGTATTTCATGTAAGTAAATACTTGGGGAGAACATGATGATTTAATAATCTGGATAAATACTGCTGTGCCTGTTGGAAAAAAGCCTCTAATGTTTAGGTTTTCCTCATCCATTTAAAATCCATTGTTTTGAATGACAAAATGTGATAGAAGCAGGTTGGAACAGTAAATGCTAGAAAGTATATCCCAGAAGAATTATCTGAGAACTTCATGGTTTCAATTCTATTTGCCGTTCTCTGTTCTTAATTTATTAATTTTTAAAAGTACATCGAAAGTGAGTAAGATTGCTTGCTCTGAATTCTCCTCTGGGGTCATTGAGAGTATTCACATTTTCGTATACCCTGTTAAAAGATATTAATGCCTTTTGCATATGTCTTTATCTTTGTGGGTATGTAAAGCGACAAACTGAAGGGATCTGGTCAAGTGACAGACCTCAAAATAATTTCTCTGAAATAGTATTTGAATTTGCATGTTCGGGAATGTAAATGCTTTCCCTTTGGGCTTGTTTCTTAAGTTTTTGGTGTAGTATACAGTTGTACCCAATTTTTTTTTGTCTTTTGAGGTCTGTATATGTATGGATGTATATATTTGATTTAAAGGGGGAGTTTTAATCATTAGCAAAACAAGTGGCTGTTTGTTAGAACCCAGATAAGCCTCGTAGTGTTGTTCCTATGACAACTGAGTAGTTGGGTGTTGAAATGTAGCTTTAGGTTCTTGGTTTGGAAATGTCATTCAGACCTCCCACTATAGTCTCATTGAGTAGGAGGATAATGAGAAGGGGAAAAACCATGAAGCAACATAAGTATCTCCTTTCGTTTCATGTCTTCCTGATTTGCTTTTGTGTACAGGATCGCCAAGGGAGTGGTAAACATAGGTCTTGAACAAAGCAATACTTCAATAAAAAAAAATACATGGAAAGGGGTCAGAAAAGTTGGGGAAGATAAATAACGACACATGGGGGCAATAAAGAGGCAGGAGAAATAGGCTTCCACGGGTTTCTGCAAATCCTTTATCCATTCTACTGACCAGCAGTGAGAACATCTTGAACCAGTTATTGTATAGCTCTTCAAGAGCTGTGAATTTCCTTCAAATGCAATGTGGAGAAAATTCCTTTGGTAGCAGGATGGTTTACCACTTTGGCATAACATTGATTCATCTCCCCCAGGCAGACTACAGAGGATACTGTGTTCTTTTAAGGCACATGTTTTTCAACCAGTTGTTCATTTGTCATTTAATAGCTTTTGTCTTTTTTTCTATGGGAAAGACAAGGTTATACTATGAAAATAGTGATAAAATGTAAGTATTTTATTCTATATTCAAAAAGTGCTTTTGAAAAGTACTTAGAAAAAGATTGTTTGAGACCTGTTGTTGGTGGAAATGTTTGTGAATGGAGAATCTATGGAGCACTGTATTTGAGGAGAGGGATTGTTTAGACTAATATTTGGCATAGCTTAATTATGCAGTTGTTGATTTTCCATGTCTGAAGGTCTTCCTATTTCCTACTCCTAAATAGATTTTTTTGTATTGTGTATATTTAATGTGTATAACATGAGGTCTTGATATACATATACACAATAAAATGATTACCACAGTCCAGCAATTAACATACACGTCACCACACATAGTTACCTTTTTTTTTTTGTAGTAAAAGCACCTAAAATCTACTCCCTTAGCTCCTTTTTTTAATTTGGTTGCTAGAACCTCCTGAAGTTAGAAATAAAAAGATTTCAATGGGGTTAGTCCCTTACTTAATAAATATACGCCCACCATCTCTTCTGTAATTCAAAAAGCTCTGAAAATCAAAGGATTTTCATGAAATTTGGCAGCAAATCCTGACCTGAAGTGATGTGAGGCTAATGATAGTGTTTGTTTAGCTCGCTCAGAATGAATCTTTGTATGTTTTACTCTAGAAGTATTAATGTGTTTGATCACGGAGTATTGTTCCAGACTCCCCTAGAGGTTTATATACTATGTTGAGTAGTCAACCTATTACCTTTATAAAACAATAATAATAATCCATCTGAGTGTCAGGTAAGCATTTGCGGACCCATAATTACTGACATACATTGAGCTCATATTATATGCCAGGTATTGTTCTAAATGAATCACTGGCATCTAAGAACCGTGCCTGGCACGTAGTAGGTACTTAGTAGACACGTTTTGGTAGGAGATGCTTTACACTTAACTAACTTCTTTAACTCACAAAAACAGTATGTGACTAATATGCTTGTTACCCCCATTTTCACATGGTGAAACTGATGCACAGAGAGGTGAGGCAACCTGCCCAAAGTGACACAGTGACACAGGCAGAAAGTGGTGGAGCCACGATTTGAAAGCAGACAGTCTAGCTCCAGTCTGCTCTTAATGATTCTGATTCAGATACAAGGGAGGACTGGAGATGTGGCCCTGGACTTCTTAACCGAGTCAGAGGGGGTGTTTGAGTGATTTACTTTATTCATAGTCACCTTATACCTCCTATGATCAAGAGCTGGTGATATCACCACTATGGTCATTAACCGGGGCTGTGGTGGAATGCTTGTAACAGGTTCTCCTGGGTGGGAGTGTAGGAATTCCAGGGGTCTGAACTCTCCTCACAGACTTCCCAAGGTGATCTCCATCAGTAAATCAGCCCGACTGCTTCATCTTGAAAAATTAAGACATAGGAAATAACTCTTTCCTTAACCCTAAGGAAATTTCCTTGAACAGTGGGAAAAACCTTTTTGTAGACATTCATTAGACCCCTTACCCAGCAGGAGGTATGGAATCAATAAAGAGGGCACGGGTCACCTCCGAGGGTGTGGGCTCCATGGCTTGGGAACTACACTGGGACACAGCAAAGCTCTTTGGGAGAAATCAGGCAGCCCATGGAGCTTCAGCTGCGTGACTCTTTGAATTCACAAAAGGATACCTTTAACAGTACTTCTCAAAAAATGTATGTAAGGCATGTCTCAAGTCCCTATATATTTCTAGGAATAAAAGAATTCATTTCAAACTGATGGCAACCTCCCCATTCTATTCCCCGGCTTTCGATCCTTCTTCCTGCTTAATTTTTCTTCTTAGCACTTGCCTCTGTCTGACATATTGTATGTCTTACTTATTTATTCATTTGGCATTTTAGTTAGACACTAGCAGTATTGTTTTCTTTGAATACATTTGAAGGTCCTAGATTTATTTCTTTTTGATGTTCATCTTCCAACTCGTTCCCTCCTATCCATCTCAGACTGCTGTAAATAAATGACTTTTTGTCCATTTTTTGTTTACTATTAGTTATCATATTTATTTTTCTTAAACAAGCTGTACTGATTATACAATCTGAATTTG